GAGGCTCTCTGAGGAGGTGACATGCGAACTGGATCTCCAGCGTAAACAGAAGCTCCCCAGGCAGAGATGGGAGGGAGGGCAGTCCAGGCAAAAGCAGGAGGGTGGAGTCAGTTCTGCTGAAGAGAAAGCCTTTGAAACGACCAGAGGGCTGCCTGCTCCCAGACTGCCTGGGCTTTCTGCTTGGCTTCTCTGCTGGAAGGACACACTCCCCCACCAGCTCACTGGCCCCCAGGGGGAGAGATCATGGGCCTGCCATTCCAGAAGAAAGACTGGACTCCTGATGGCCACTGCCCTCCACCCCAGCTGAGGCGGGTGGGGTTGTGGGCAGCCAGTCGGGGCCCTACCAACCCGCAGGGCCATCCCCGACCCCCCACTCCGCTCCCCAGAAACACACGCAAATTCCCACAGGCTGCATGGCCAGGGGACCTGCTTTGCCTAAGGCATCCGCCTCCCCCAGGACGCATTAGGCAGGCTTCGCTGGTCAGAGCAGGGCGAGTCTGCAGAGAAACGGGCTCCGGGGAGGGGGGTAGGACTCACATCTCCAGAGAGGAGGGGGCCATATGGCCCCAGCTGTAGAAGTAACAAAGGGGGGTTCACAGCACCCTTCTCAGCACCCCCACCTTGGTAGAAGGGAGATGGAGAAAGAGGAAATTAGGATGCAGGCAGAATGGCACTACCACATCCTCAATAATTAAGGGCCAGAGTCAAGTCCACGCTTTGTGCCAGCAGAACCCAGTCCTTGGGAGCTGAGGGCCCCGCCCCACAGGGTCCCAGGAGTTGCAGGGGGTCCCACCATGGACCCAGGTGGGAGGGTAGGGGCTGCAACTCTGCTCCCTGCCCCCAGGACACATCTTCCTGAGCCCACACTCAACACCAGCCCACTAGGTCCATAGGAAACCAACTCTCAGGTTCAAGATCAAATTCCCGTCACCACCAAGCTCAAAGGGATAGGATTTGACCCAGATCTGCAGGAAACCCCAAGATGGCAGGTAAGGCCTTAACAGCTTAAACTCTTAACCAGCTCTGAGCACTGGCCTGGAGAAAAACAGGACTGGCCAAGGGCAACTGGTTAGGAAGCTGCAGAGTCAGGATTCATCTCAAGTTTTTTGACAAGGAGGGGCTTCCCCAGTGGGGCAATCAGTAAAGAATCCACCTGCCAATGCAAGAGATGCAGGTTCGATGCCTGGGTTGGAACGAAATCCCCTGGAGAAGGAAATGACAACCCATTCCAGAATTCTTGCCTGGGAAATCCATGGACAGAGATGTCTAGTGGGCTATACACAAAGAGTTGGGCATGACTGAGCATGCGCGCACGCATGCACACACACATACACACACACACACACACACACATTTTAATGAGGAAGCCTGGGTTCTCTCCAATAAATCGTTCATGGCCTAAAGTATTCAGTCAACTTGCAGCAAACATTTACTCGGCTGTTCCTATGTGACAAATATTGCTTAGCTGTGAGATTCTGTGACGAGCAAAACCAGACATAATCCCACTGCATGGAGCTTAGGTTAGCTGGGGAAACAGGCCTTAAGTTAAAAATACATAATGGCTAAGTGTGAAGAGCATTGTAAAAAAATGGGTTTATTCATAGAAAACAACTGGGGAAGGAATTACCTCGTTTGGAGGACCACCAGAGAAAATGCTTCTGAGAAGGTGCATTTAAATCCTGCTTAAGTATAGCAGAAATGAGATTGAAAGTGAAACTGAAAGTCGTTCAGTTGGGTCTGACTGACTCTTTGCAACCCCATGGACTGTAGTCTGCCAGGCTCCTCTGTACATGGAATTATACAGGCAAGAATACTGGAGTGGGTAGCCTATCCCTTCTCCAGTGGATCTTCCTGACCCAGGAATCAAACTGGGGTCTCCTGCATTGTAGGTGGATTCTTTACCAGCTGAGCTACCAGAGAAGCCCATAAATGAGATTAAATGAAATTAATCAGGATTGATTAATAATATCTTTCACGGCCACTGAATTAGGAGGTGATAGCATGCATGCCAGAGACTTGTACCTGGTTTATGCCCTCACCTAGGATCCTTATTACCCAAAGAACTAGATGTAATTCTAATTCTCCTAAAATTCACTGTGAGGTAGAGTGGATGAACATTTGCAGAAGAAGCCATGGTACAAGGTAGCTCACTAGTTTCATTAACAGAAAAATCAAGGAAGTGAGATAGATGCAGAGAGGGAGTGATCAGTTACCACTAGGGTGACGTTAGTGAGGCTTTGAAGGACATGGCACTTGGGAGCTCGTTGAAAAGAAGGGCCTCATTTTACAGAGGAGACAGCACTTAGCATCAGAGAACGTTGGAACCTCTCTGGCCTCAGTTTGACTGCCTCCACATTCATAACAATCCCTGCTTCTCTCCATATGTGCTCAGAGCACCAGCCTCACCACAGACTCTCAGTGAGAACTGACCTTTTTCTGCCAGCCCACTACACTGAGCATCCTATCAAGAGGTCCATCAAGACAACTCAGGGCTCTCAATGGCCTCCACAGCCGCACAGCTGGCTCACACCCACCACATGGAAAACGATGTCCTTGAGAAGCAATTTTAGGGCCATCAGAATACTCCTGGAGCAGCCTTCACCTGCCCTTCCCTGCATTTATCACAGCTGTAATCAAGCCTGTCTTTGGCTCTCGATTCATGCTAAGTCCTAAGAGAATGGGCAACAGTGTTTGGCATATCCACCAGTGCCTGGCACATTGTCGACCACTTAACAATTCTTTATTGATTGAGTGAACTGTCATACAACAGAAAGAGTTGAGACAACGTTGAGAAGCTGAGAGTTTTAGCCTGGCCCCAGGGATTATTAGTCCTCTAGAGCAGCTGGCAGACGGTGGCAGCTCCTTTTGAGTCCTGTTCCCAGCCTCGGGAATGGAAGATCCCCAGGAGAAGGTGGTGAGGCTGCGTTCTCCTGCCCACAGCCTAGCCACTTCTCACAGTTTACAAGAGGCCAGCACTTCTTGGGCCCACTCTGTGTGTCCTTTGCCTTGTGCTGCAACCTACGAGGCTGAATCCTTAACCCGAGGAAGCTGATAGTCCTTTGGGGAGAGTAGACTGGAATGACAATCAGTGAGGTGGGTCAAATGCGTTTAGAATCAGTGTGTGAGAACTCAGCAAGGAGTTCAGTGAGGATGGGCTAGTCTCAGGAGGCTCTTGGGAGTCAGGTCTGCCAGGACATGTAGACTTTGGACATCCAGGGGGAGAAGAGACTGCTCAGAGAAGGGGGCCTTCTGTGGAAGAGGGAAGAATGAAGTGGGATGGGGGAGGACACAGGTGTGATGGGAGTAGAGGTCATGGTAGGTGTGGGGACTGGGGAGTAAGGCAGAGTGCACCCAACTCAGTTCACGGAGGACCAGCCTGGGGTTTGGAAACTGAGCCTGTGAACAATGGGAAGCTACCATGACCTTCCACACAAGGAGTCCAGAGCCGGTCGCCTGGGGCTTCAGGGGTTATGGGCAGAAGACAGATCCATGCCCCCTTGGAGGCCAGATTTTGTAGACAATGGGAGAAAGAACCCAAGGAGTCAGCAATGGATGACTCCTTCAGACCTTGGTTTTCAGACATGCCTCTTCAAAGGAGCTGGTTGCCTTATTAGTTCCCCAAACAGTATGTCTTCCGTAGATCAAGACTCCAGTAGAAATACAATGGCCACAAAAGTGGGGTTTTTTGTGTCTTGGTTTTCTGGGCCTCCCACTCGCCCCCTCCCTCCAAAATCTATTCTCCATTATTGGCCAGACAAAGACCGTCCCAAGATGCCCGCGTCTCCGTTGCGGCGAACATCTGTCCTCTCTCACCCGCGCGCCTGCCCATCTGCGCTTCCGCGAGATCTTTCATCCAATCCCCAGTGTAAGGATTCAAAGTAAGGAGGTTCATGTTGTCAAAGGAGCCTTGATCTGAATGCCTTCCCCCCACTTTCTCCTTAAATGAGTTGTTAACAGGAACCCAAGTGTCTGTTGAACCTAAAATACTTTAAAAAAAAATAAAATAAAATAACATTTCAAGGTAACTTATGGCGCGCACTTTAAGAGGCGAGGGCTCAGCGTGTCCCCGACAGCTTCCTCCTTGAAGCTCCGGTCTTCAGGGCTGTGGGAGGGATCCAATCAGACAGGCCGCCGCTGAGGGCCAGGGGAGGAGGGCTGCGGTGGTTTTATTTCAGATTCGAGCTAAGACCATGAAATGGAAGGCAGGGAGGAAAAGTGAGTGAGCGAGTGAGTGTGTGTGCCTCTGTGTGCGTGTGTGTGTCTGTGTGCGCACGGCCAGAATAATGAGTCGCACTAATTCATAGAATTCCATTTTGGCCATCACACACGGCTCCCTTTTCTCTTGAAGGCCACTTTGAAAAATCCCGTTTTCATAAGTCATTTACTTCCCCTAGGAGGGCAGGCCTTCTAAAAATATTCCCCATTTCTTACACCTCGGAAGCAAATTATTTATGCTAAAGCAGCTTCGTTATCCTGGCCCCACTGGGCCAGCTTGGAAATGGAGGTGACTTCAAGAAGGCACCATTGTCAACAGTGAAGTCCTCAGAGGGGTGTGTCCCCGACGAGGCTAGGAGAGGTTTTCCACCAGACCCGCGGGGCTGAAAGAGCATTTGCGGGTCGGTAAGGAGAAGGTCTGCCCTGTTGTTCCACAAATATTTATATACCGGCACAGAGCTAGGCACCACAAACCGCAGGGAACAGACAGACGGGTCCCAAGCAGTCTCAGTGAGGGAGAGAGATGCTTGATGAGTACACATGTTAATGACATCTGAAGGGTGAACTTGACATTGTAGAGAGCGGGTTGTCTGTGTCACTGAAAGCAGCATCTAAATGATGGCAAGCGGTGAGCTGTGCAAAGATCTAGGAGTTGTGTTTTACATGCAGGGGAACCGCTAAAACGGAAGGCCTGGAGTGGATGAGCAGGAGGGCAGCGAGGTCAGCCTGGCCAGGGAGGCAGGAGCTGGCGAGCAGCGCAGGGAGTGGGCCCGGGTGAGGTCTGCAGAGGCAGGCGCACATCCACAGCGCCTGGAGGTCAGGGCCAAGCCAGCCAAGCTCGCTGCCACGGTTCCTCCTCACACTGACCCCGTCCACGGTTTTACTGAGAACTCAAGCCCTGCAAGGTAAGTGAGCCCCACTAAACAGGGGATGCTGGAAAGGTGGCCAGGACTGGCCCACCCTGCCCCCCATCTCAACGCCCTGTCTCTGCCTGGGAAAAGGCAATTAAAAATCAGTCTGTCTCACAGAGTGAAGTAAGTCAGAAAGAGAACAGTAAATACCATATCATAACACAGATATGCAAAATCAAGAAAAAAAAATGGTACAAATGAACGTATTTGCAGGGCAGGCATAGAGACGCAGACATAGAGAATGGGCATGTGGAGATGGGGTGGGGGTGGGGGGATGAACTGGGAGATTGGGATGGACAGAGACAATACCATGAGCAAAATAGGTAGCTCATGGGAGGCTGCTGTCAGCCCCGAGAGCTCAGCTCTGTGCTCTGTGATGACCTAGAGGCGTGGGATGGGGTCGGGGGATGGGACGTCCAAGAGGGAGGGGATATACGGAAACACACAGCTGATTCACTTTGCCTTATGACAGAAACTAACACGACACTGTAAGGCAATTATACTCCAGTTACAAGAAAAAAGAAGAAGGAGAATCACCTCTGAGAAGTCAGGGAGGAGGTGAGTCACTGGAGAGGGGATATGCTCTAAGTGGAGGTGGAACCTGTCACTAGCCTGCAACAGGGGAGCTCGTCTTCCCCTCTCTAGTCTGTCCCAGGCCCTGTCATCATCCAGCGGGGAGGGGGAAAGAAGCCAGGCGAGGACCGCTCCCTGGAGAAGCCGCTGCATTCTTTCAGCATCCGTAAGGCAATTAAGTCTTCACGTTCGCGGACCTGAAGTCTTTCATGGGCTGTGCCAATTGGTGTGTCTCCGTAACGAGGAGGGCCTTCTGCCCACCGGGCACACGTTCCCAGCGGCTCGTCCCGGCCCCGCAGACAGGCAGAGGCTTTCCTGTGAGGTGCGCAGCCCTGGGTTCCGGGCTCCGGGCTCCGGGCTCCGGGTAAGGGGAGCACCGAGGCCGCGGTTAACAAGAGGGTGGCTCTGCCCCGCAGCCAGGGCGGGGGCCGTGGAGCACCGGCCTGGGCCCAGGATGAAAGGCCGGCTGTGAGCAGCCTCATTACCAGTGAGCCCCAGATTAAGCCTTTATTACGGGCCTAATTGGAGAGTTAATTATTAGGTGCTATTGTGCGCTGGGGAGAAGCCGGGATGGTTCACCTGGACGTCGGGCCTTCACTCGGAGTCTCCCTGGTTACCTGGCAGCCCAGGCCAGGCGTCAGGCCAGGTGAGGAGGTTCTACCTAGAGGTCGGGGCCACAAGAGGAGCAAAGCAGCACCTCCCGTCTCTGTGAGGCCCCTTGGGTGCTGGGAAGATGCAGGGGAGAAACCATCACAGCTAACAGAGGTAACACGGGAAAGACTAGCTCAGGGCTGGCTGAGGGTGAGTGGGAGAGGCCCCTGCTTCAAACTGGGGGAGGGGGAAGACACGGGAGGCCCCAAGGGAACAGAGGGGAGTCAGAGTGAGGGGCTGTGTGCCCCAGAAGGAGGGAACAGCATGTGCAAAGGCCCAGAAATGGGGCTCCAGGGGCGACGATGCCAGGCACGAGAAGGCGACACTGGAGGGAGCCAGGCTCGTGGAGAGAGATGAGCTGGGAACAGCGAGTCGGGCTGGAAGTTCTTGGGAGAGTGGCCCCAGTGGAGGACCCAGGAAAGGGAGAGAGCGTGATGGGGCTGCTTTGGTGCTGCTGAGGCTGGAAACACACAACTCAACTCCTTCCCTGCCAATCTCTCCCCACCCCCAGCTCTCTATCAGGTGCCAAGAGAGCCATCCATACAAGCAAGGATGGAGGATCCATATTCCTCTAAAACCCACGCTTGCTCAGGCACAAGCCTGAGGGCCAGCAGAGAGCCAGATCTACAGAGAGGACAGGCTTAACTTTAGCTCTCAGGCGTCTGCCTGGAGGAGGTGATGGTGAAAGAGAGTGATGGTAAGACTTTTCCACAGTGACCCAAAGATGATAGCCATCCCCCCGCACCCCAGATCCTGAATTTTCAGGAACCACAGAGACTGGACTTCTTATGGGGCTCAAAGCTGTGTGTTTCAAGGCGGGAGTGAGTGACCGAGGAGTTAGCATTTGCTGGGCATGATGAGGACCAACCTTGAGGACTGCGAGGACCCTCCCAGTCCTTAAGTCCCAGGATGCCCCTGAGTCTGTGAGTCAAAGGGTGGGGGAGGTGGTGGGGTATATCACTGCCCCTCCTCAACCAGGAGGACTGCCCTGCTAAGGGAGGGAGCCCAAGCCCAGGTCCTAGGACGCTGAGATTTTACACCGTGATTTTGGTGGTGATATTTGACCCATTACTCTCCTGGGACTCCTGAGCTGGAAGCCCACTCCTTGTTAAATAAGGATACAGTGGCCAACACAGAGGCCACACACCCTCCAATCCTGTTACAAGCATCCACCCTCCATTCCAGTTTACCAGTAAGAACCAGGCTCAGGAAAGTGGCATGGGTTGATGACAGTCCAGTGGTGAAGCTGTCTGACGCCAAATGCTAGGCTTTCAGCCTCCTGGTTAAGTCACAGGAGATGGCGCTTGGTGTCTGGTGGCACACGTGGTCCCTTTGTACTAGGACACCGATGGGTAAGCTCGCAGAACCAGCAGGGAGCTGGGTCCCCACTCGATGGTCTCCTCCTGTGGCACCAGGGCCTGGCCACGCTGCAGACCCCCTCTGTGGGCCCACGCTTTCATCACAGCGCCCACCCCACACACACCCCAAACCGGCAGGGCCCTGGCTGGGCGTCATTGTTCCTAACAAGTTAATTGTAATGGTGGAAGGCATCTCTCCCAGGCCCGCCCAGCCCCCATTAAAGCGTTCCCGTAATGAAACGGGACGATGAATGGGAACTTGCAGGTGGTTAAATGCGGTTTCTTGCCTCTGCAAGGCAGTGGGGAGGGGAAGGCTGTTTTGTTTGAGGAAACACTTTGATGTGAAGCTCATTTTCTCAGAGAGAAGATGCTTGTGAGTGAAGCCAGCGCCAGGGCACTTAGATGCTCAGAGCCTGGCTCTCCCCGGCAGGTGGAGGCGACAGGCAGAGACAGGCAAGCAGCACGGCCAGGGCAGGTGCAGCCAGCGTGCTCTCCCCCTTCCTAGGAGCCCCCCAGACGCTGTCTGGAGTGAGGCTCACAGCTTGCCTTTCCCCAGCTCAAAAATATGCAGTGGCTCCCCATGGTCACCTCAAATGGGTGCCCAAACTTCCAATGATGTTGGAGCCGTTAGGTTTGCAAGTGATGAAAGCGGGAACCCAGAGTGACTAGCCTAAAAAAGCAATGAGCCAGCTTTTATTAATGGACAAGCCCACGGCCAGTTTGCCTTCAGACACAGCTTGATCCAGGAGCTTAATGGTATCCCCAGGACCCAAACAATCTTTTCTCATCTCTCAGCTCTCCTGCTTTTCTCTCCCCACCCCCAGCTCTCTATCAGGTGCCAAGAGAGCCATCCATACAAGCAAGGATGGAGGATCCATATTCCTCTAAAACCCACGCTTGCTCAGGCACAAGCCTGAGGGCCAGCAGAGAGCCAGATCTACAGAGAGGACAGGCTTAACTTTAGCTCTCAGGCGTCTGCCTGGAGGAGGTGATGGTGAAAGAGAGTGATGGTAAGACTTTTCCACAGTGACCCAAAGATGATAGCCATCCCCCCGCACCCCAGATCCTGAATTTTCAGGAACCACAGAGACTGGACTTCTTATGGGGCTCAAAGCTGTGTGTTTCAAGGCGGGAGTGAGTGACCGAGGAGTTAGCATTTGCTGGGCATGATGAGGACCAACCTTGAGGACTGCGAGGACCCTCCCAGTCCTTAAGTCCCAGGATGCCCCTGAGTCTGTGAGTCAAAGGGTGGGGGAGGTGGTGGGGTATATCACTGCCCCTCCTCAACCAGGAGGACTGCCCTGCTAAGGGAGGGAGCCCAAGCCCAGGTCCTAGGACGCTGAGATTTTACACCGTGATTTTGGTGGTGATATTTGACCCATTACTCTCCTGGGACTCCTGAGCTGGAAGCCCACTCCTTGTTAAATAAGGATACAGTGGCCAACACAGAGGCCACACACCCTCCAATCCTGTTACAAGCATCCACCCTCCATTCCAGTTTACCAGTAAGAACCAGGCTCAGGAAAGTGGCATGGGTTGATGACAGTCCAGTGGTGAAGCTGTCTGACGCCAAATGCTAGGCTTTCAGCCTCCTGGTTAAGTCACAGGAGATGGCGCTTGGTGTCTGGTGGCACACGTGGTCCCTTTGTACTAGGACACCGATGGGTAAGCTCGCAGAACCAGCAGGGAGCTGGGTCCCCACTCGATGGTCTCCTCCTGTGGCGCCAGGGCCTGGCCACGCTGCAGACCCCCTCTGTGGGCCCACGCTTTCATCACAGCGCCCCCCCCACCCGACACCCCAAACCGGCAGGGCCCTGGCTGGGCGTCGTTGTTCCTAACAAGTTAATTGTAATGGTGGAAGGCATCTCTCCCAGGCCCGCCCAGCCCCCATTAAAGCGTTCCCGTAATGAAACGGGACGATGAATGGGAACTTGCAGGTGGTTAAATGCGGTTTCTTGCCTCTGCAAGGCAGTGGGGAGGGTAAGGCTGTTTTGTTTGAGGAAACACTTTGATGTGAAGCTCATTTTCTCAGAGAGAAGATGCTTGTGAGTGAAGCCAGCGCCAGGGCACTTAGACGCTCAGAGCCTGGCTCTCCCCGGCAGGTGGAGGCGACAGGCAGAGACAGGCAAGCAGCACGGCCAGGGCAGGTGCGGCCAGCGTGCTCTCCCCCTTCCTAGGAGCCCCCCAGACGCTGTCTGGAGTGAGGCTCACGGCTTGCCTTTCCTCAGCTCAAAAATATGCAGTGGCTCCCCATGGTCGCCTCTAATGGGTGTCCAAACTTCCAATGATTTTGGAGCCGTTAGGTTTGCAAGTGATGAAAACGGGAACCCAGAGTGACTAGCCTAAAAAAGCAATGAGCCAGCTTTTATTAATGGACAAGCCCACGGCCAGTTTGCCTTCAGACACAGCTTGATCCAGGAGCTTAATGGTATCCCCAGGACCCAAACAATCTTTTCTCATCTCTCAGCTCTCCTGCTTTTGTGGGGTTTGTTCTCTAATAGGTTCTCCTGTCAGATGGCAAGGGGGCTAAAGCTGCTCCAGATGTTCCTCTCCTGGCTTGGAGCCTGGGAGGAAGGAGACCCAGCGCTGCACCCTGGCCACTCAAGCACACCCTGGATTGTCTCTAAGGCTTGGCTTGAGTCCCATCAGGTTGGCCAGGGCAGTGGAGGCTCTAAGTGTTAGACCTGGAAGCCGAGCTTGGAACTTCTAGGCTAGCACTCATCCTGGGACTCCCCCAGTCCTCACAGTCCTACCTGCTCTCGCTGGAGCCCAGGAGGATGCATCATATGATGTTCAACCACAAACCAGTTTATGCTTTCAGCCAAGGCTGCTGCACCTTGCTGTTATTGCTCTTTAGACTCTTTTGTGACCCTGTGGGCTGTAGACCAGCAGGTTCCTCTGTCCATGGGATTTCCCAGGCAAGAATACTGGCGTGGGTTGCCATTTCCTTCTCCAGGGGATCTTCTCGACCCAGGGATCAAACTTGAGTCTCCTGCATTGGTAGGCAGATTCTTTACTCCTGAGCCACTTGGGAAGCCCCACCACACTTTAGGAGAACATTCTTTTCCAGAGAGTGAGGCAGGTCTTTTATCTGTCATGATCAGTCCTCCTTCCCCTCAAGGGTGTGGTTCAGGTCCAAGGCAAGGCGACTTTTATGCTTTCACCTTTCCAAGCCCCTCCAGGGTGAACCCCACCCCCGCAGGCATCGAGTCTCCCCTGTAACCAGCCCAGAGGAAAGAGGACAAGTGTTTGATCCCTCAGATTCTTTGATCAAGTCTCTTTTAAATTTTTTTTAATTTAATTTTTATTTTATATTGGGAGTATAGGGCTTCCCTGGTGGCTCAGCCAGTAAAGAATCCACCTGCAATGTGGGAGACTTGGGTTCAGTTTCTGGGTTCGGAAGATCCCCTGAAGAAGGAAATGGCTGCCCACTCCCATATTCTGGCCTGGAGAATTCCGTGGACTGTATTGTCCAGGGGGTCGCAAAGAGGTGGACACGACTGAGTGACTTTCACTTTCATAGTTGACTTATCTACAGTCAAGTCTTGGTTCTACCAGGAAAAGTATTTCACTCCAGCAACCTCTGTTTCCCCATTTCTAAAATGGGGATAATACAATATCTAAGTTATAGCATTGTCATAGAATTCAATAAGATGGCACGTATGAAGCACCTAGCCTAGTGCCAGTGTGGACTAAGCATTCCAAGAGTAACCCTTCTGCAGGAGGAAGGCACTGCTGTGCGTCTCAGCAGGACCGTGCCGGTCACCATGACAAGGAGGGCTGGCCAGACGGGGCTGGGAGATGAGCAGCTGGGGAGCAGTGCCCTGGCATCCTTCCCCTTCTCCTGATAACTGCTCCCCAAATTTATCAGTGAAAACCAACCCTCTGCCACTCCAGGGGAACAGTGCGCAATAGGAGAAACAAATTGGATCACTTGAGAAATATTTGTGAAGTTCTGCCCCCCACCCCAAGCCAACAAGAATGAATAGCTACTGTCTGTTGATCACTGAGGAAGGCTTTCTTATCTTTCCTTGCTATTCTTCGGAACTGTGCATTCAAATGGGTATATCTTTCTTTTTCTCCTTTGCCTTTTACTTCTCTTCTTTTCTCAGCTATTTGTAAGGCCTCCTCAGACAGCCATTTTGCCTTTTTGCATTTCTTTTTCTTGGGGATGGTCTTGATCTCTGGCTCCTGTACAATGTCATGAACCTCCGTCCATAGTTCTTCAAGCTCTCTATCACATCTAATCCCTTGACTCTATTTGTCACTTCCACTGTCTAATCGAAAGGGATTTGATTTAGGTTATACCTGAATGGCCTAGTGGTTTTCCCTGCTTTCTTCAATTTAAGTCTGAATTTGGCAATAAGGAGTTCATGATCTGAGCCACAGTCAGCTCCCGGTCTTGTTTTTGCTGACTGTATAGAGCTTCTCCAATTTGGGCTGCAAAGAATATAATCAACCTGATTTCTGTATTGACCATCTGGTGATGTCCATGTGTCGAGTCTTCTCTTGTGTTGTTGGAAAAGGGTGTTTGCTATGGCCAGGCATTACGTGCGGCATGGTACACATGTTGCCTCCCTTAAGCACAATGCCTGATTAAGTGGAGACGATCAATTTTTTTTAAGTTATTATTTTGTGTTGGGGTATAGCCGGTTAACAGTGTTGTGATAGTTTCAAGAGAACAGCAAAGGGACTCAGCCATACATATATAGGTATTCACTCTTCCCCAAACTCCCCTTCCATCCAGACTGCCACATAACATTGAGCAGAGTTTCATGTGCTCAAGGTACAGTAGAACCGTGTTGCTTATTCATTTTGAATATAGCAGTGTGTACATGTCCATCCCATACTCCCTAACTGTACCTTCCCCCTGGTAACCATAAGGTCATTATCTAAGTTGGCGAGTCTCTTTCTGTTTTGTAAGTAGGCTCATTTGTATCATTTCTTTTTTGATTCCATGTGTAAAGAATGTCATAAGATATTTCTCCCTCTCTGTCTGACTCACTTCACTCAGTGTGACAGTCTCTGGATCCATCCATGTTGCTGCAAATAACATTATTTCACTCTTTTTAATGGCCAAGTAATATCCCATCATATATATGTACAACATCTTCTTTAGCCACTCTTTCGTCGATGGACATTTTGGTTGCTTCCAAGTCTTGGCTATTGTAAACAGTGCTGCAATGAACATTGGGTTGCGTGTGTCCTTTTGGATCATGTTTTCCTCTGGATATTTGCTCAAGAGTGGGATTGCAGGTCATATGGTGGCTCTATTTTTCGTTTTTAAGGAAACTCCAGGTACTCAGTCGCTCAGTCGTGTCTGACTCTTTGCGACGCCATGGACTATAGCCCGCCAGGCTCCTCTATCCATGGAATTCTCCAGGCAAGGATACTGAAGTGTGTTGCCGTGTCCTCCTCCAAAGGAACCTCCATACTCTTCTCCATAGAGGCTGCACCATCAGCAGTGTAGAAGGGTTCTCAAATGGGGACTATCATTAGCCCCAGTTTCCAGACTAGGAAACAGATTCAAAAACAGAAGTGGCTAGCCCAAGGTTGCAGAGCTAACAGGTGGTAGAGCTGACGTCCCCACCTGGCACTATTGCCCTGCAGCCATCAGTGCTCTGTGGCCAAACGGGAGCTTCCCAAAGCGGAGCAGGCCCTTAGCCAGGTGGGCTGTGCAGCCGCCCCCTCCCCGGCCCACCTCCAGGAGCACTAATTCTGCCTTTCCAGCTCTGACCTGCAGGAAACTCCAGGCGATAGACTCAGTCCTATCTCACTGGTATTCCTGGCCCCACTGAAAGCCGCTGCAGCTCCCTCTGCCCATCTGACTACACACGACATGCCATCCCGCAGGGCGCCCGACTCCCTGAGTGGACAGGGAGAACCTGGACCGCATCGCTTCCGGACCTCCACGACTCAGCATTGCCTAAGTGTGTGGCTCCATGGCGCCCTGCCCATCCTGCCCAGGCCAGGGCCCATTTAGCTCACCTCATGCCTCTTACAGCTCCGGTGCCATGGAGTAGGTGTGGGTGGCTGCTGGACAAACGTCCTGAAATCCTCACTGAACCTTCTACCCTCCGAGTCTGCTCAACCCGGCTCAGCCACGGCACATCCTTCGGGAGCCATGAAGGGTGAATGGCCATGGGCACAAGACACACTCACCCCGCCTGCCGAGGCCCTGGTATGAGTGTGGCAGACAAGGGGCATCAGTGACAATGGTATCTGTCATTCCCCTCCAAGTCCAGGACACTTTCTTATCTGCCTTCTCATTACTTTTATGGATAATTTTACAAGCTAATATTAGTAAGTGTGTGTCCTGTGCTAGGCTGTGGACTAAGTGCATTTTATACACTATTCACTTCCTCACCCCTGAGGTCAACAAGCATGTTTAACTCTTCATTACGGAGATGTGCAACACCCCCTCCCCACCAAAGAAGGAGAGTAATGTAATTAACCCACATGCATTCATTTCCTACTTTGAACAGTTACCAACATTTGGCGATTTTTGCTTCATCAACTCCTATTTTTCCTTAAACTGGAATATTTTAAAGCAAATCCCAGGGTGCCACATTACCCATAAATACTTCAGCTTCTTTTTTTATTTTGACCTAACCTCAATAACACAATCACACTCAATCAAATTAACAATAATATATTGTCTAATACCCAGTTGTCTAATACCTAGTTCTTACTCAATTATTCTCCAAAATGTCTTTTCACGGTCAGCAAGTATTTTCGAGCACTAACTACATGGGCCTTGCGTGTGGGCAGCAAGTGAGGGACAGAGTCCCCGCCCTCGTGGGATTCACAGCACGGCTGGGCAAGCAGACCGCACACTAGAGAATGCATACACACTGCCACTTCACATAGCGATACAGACCAGGAAGGAAAATAAAGCAGGGACAAGACGTGAGACACACGCATGGACCGTGTGCCAGCCAGAGGCATGGCAGGTGCAAAGGTCCTGTGCAAGAGTAAGTTCAGTGAATTCCAGGAAAATGTGGCTGGAAGGACTATGGGTGGAGCCAGGGAAAGTATAAGTGAGGAGACAAGGTCTTACTACCAGCTGCTGTGAGTTGCTGCATGAGATGGAGATCACCGAAAGGTTTTGAAATGAGATAGGCATCCCTTCCATTTTCTGGAAAACGTGGTCTGGTCACAGGAGAGGATGTGCACTTGGGTTCATTCCTGAAAAAGCAAGTGTTAATTGCTCAGTCATGTCTGACTCTTTGCAACCCCATGGACTGTAGCCTGCCAGGCTCCTCTGTCCATGGAGTTCTCAAACACAGGCAACAAATTACAATAGTGTCTCCAGTCCCGGTGACTTTGTCACCAAGATAAAGCACAGACATTTTTCCAATCATGCCACAGTTGTTGCAGATACATCAGAAAAGCATTTCTGCTTATCGCTGCTTCAAAAAGCATTGTTAGATCTGCCATGTTACATAAGAGGCCAACAAAAGCACACCACTAGATAATAATTTTTAAAATATTTTCATAACTGGCTTTTAATATAATTGGCTGCCTTTGCAAGGCTATATCTTATACTTTATACATTTAAAAGCATTATTCTGAGACTGCCAGTGGATCCCTACCACAATAGAGGTTAAGAGTCCCACCTCCAATCGGTGAGTACAGTGCCTGATGCAAAACTGGAGTCTGAAAGGAAGGGGGAGGCGGGTGAGAATGTTGGGGTTGTGTGTGTACCCTGTTCTAAATGTAACATCCCCCTAGGCATCACTATCTGGTCCTCTGCTCACGAAGTCCTTGGCACCCCCACGCCTCCCCTGACTAAGCATGTGCAAGCTCCCCTTCCGCCCCTTCACTCTGGGCTTTCCCTTCTATTTCTATTCTGTTAAAATTATCTGAGACTTCCTGTGCTGTTAGCTGACCCATATCCTTTTAGGAAAGTGATGGAATCTTTTTTTTTTTGAACCAAACTTGTAAAGAGGGAAAGGCATTTTTAACCTGATTTTACTCAGAGAAAAACTGACAGTCAGAACTTGGGAATTGACTTAGTAAAGATTTCACATCAAGTAAGGACTCTCCGGGGCCAGTGGTCCAGCGCGGGGAGTGGTTCTATGCACACCCCCACCAAGTCCTACTGGAAGCAGAATTCGGCTGGCTGCAGCCTGGGTCTAAGTCAACATTCTTATGAGGGTTGGGGAGTCCCAGAATGACAGATGGGACCAGCCAGCCATTGTCCTCTTCTCTACTTTCACCACCAATTAATCGTCTTGCCATTATCTGAAGATAAGGCGGACACCTGGCTAAAGAGTGTGTGTGTGTGTGCGCGCGCGTGCACACTAAGACGCTGCTGCTTCTAAATCATTTCCGACTCTTCAATCTGAAAAGTCATTGTGATCTGACATCACCTTTTCTACTATTCTGGGAGCTGCCAGAGCTGTTGCCACACTTTGGCCTGGACCACGATGGGCATGGAGCCAGGCAACGAGGTTGATGGGCTGGACCAGAACAAGCAGAGTAAGACACCCTGAATCGCAGAAGCACAGTGGATACTTAGGAGGAGAAGGGCAACCTTTACGAGTTGGCCTCCGAAAAGCTTTGACAATTCTCTCTCTCTGAGCTCATGCTGGGGAAGTCTTCTATATTACTTAGATAATAATGTATTAAGAGAGATTTTGTATTTGGTGTATTTAATGAGCAAGCAACTCCCCAAAGACTTTTCAATAAAGCCAGCAAATTTAACAGGAGAAACGCATCAATTGGCTTTGCTGTTCCAGTTAAGAAAGCCACTGCTTTCCGCTTTTACAGACGCTGGCATGTAGTATGCTAAGAAAGCCCTGGAATCAATCTTCGAGAAGAGGGCTAAAAGGTGGGTGAAATTAAGCAGCTAACATTCAGGTTCCACCACCCCAGCTAAAATGATGATTTTAATGTAAAAGCAATGAAGTTGATGAGAAGCCCAAGTTAGACAGCTGCCCACTTACCATGCGAATGTCCCCACTCTGAAGGGTCTCTGAGAGCAAGGTTATTCATAAAGGAAGGCCAGAGACCGAATCAAAGACTAAATACATTAAGGCATGCATATCCCCAAACAAAGTGCTTGAGTGAAAATGACTTATGGAAAGCAATATTGTAGGTTTTGACAAGACGGGAAAGAAGATAAAATATTCATATTCATCATCTCTTCAGTGTAATTGCCTGCCACCTTGGTCCCCTTGTGGAGAGGACTGGACAGAAGTTGCACAGAGAGATGGAGGTGGAGGTTGATTAGGACTCTGCACTGGGGCAGAAGACATGGGTCTAGTCCTGTCTTTGTCATTGTTGTTATTAAGTTGCAAAGTACTGTCCAACTGTTTGTGACCCCATGGACTATAGCACACCAGGCTCCTCTGTCCTCCACTATCTCCCAGAGTTTGCTCAAATTCACGTCCACTGAGCTGGTGATGCTATCTAACCGTTTCATCCTCTGCTGCTCCCTTCTCCTTTTGCCTCCACTGTTTCCCAGCATCAGGATCTTTTCCAATGAGTTGGTTCTTCACAATACTTCGGTGGCCAAAGTATTGGAGCTTCAGCTTCAGCACTTATAATGACTATGCAGGGTTGATTTCCCTTAGGATTGACTGATTTGTTCTCCCTGCTGTCCAAGGGACTCTCAGGAGTCTTCTCCAGCACCACAGTTCGAAAGCATCAGTTCTTTGGCGCTCAGCCTTCCTTATGCTCCAACTCTCACATCCATACATGACCACTGGAAAAACCATAGCTTTCACTAGATGGACCTTTGTCAGCTTTTTAATACACTGTCTAGGTTTGCTTTCCTTCCAAAGAGGAAGTCTCTTTTAATTTCATGACTGCAGTCACCTTCTGCAGTGATTTCAGAGCCCAAGAAAATGAAATCTGTCATTGCTTCCACTTTTTTCCTCTCCTATTTGCCATGAAGTGATGGGACCAGATGCCACAATCTTAGTTTTTTGAATGTTGATTTTCAAGCTAGATTTTTCGCTCTTCTCTTTCAGCCTCATCAAGAGGCTCTTTAGTTCCTCTCCACTTTCTGCCAAAAGAGTGCTATCATCTGTGTATCTGAGATTGTAAATATTTCTCCTGGCAATCTTGATTCCAGCTTATGATTCATCCAGCTCAGCATTTCATATGATGTACTCTGCATATAAGTTAAATAAGCAGGGTGACAATACAGTCTTGTCATACTCCTTTCCCAATTTTGAACCAGTCTATTGTTCCATGCTCAGTTCTCACTGTTGCTTCTTGAGCTGCATACAAGTTTCTCAGGGAACAAGTAAGGTTGTCTAGTATTCCCATCTCTTTAAGACTTTCCCACAGTTTGTTGTGATCCACACAGTCAAAGGCTTTAGTGTAGTCAATGAAGCAGAAGTAGATATTTTTCTGAAACTTTTGCTTTATCTATGATCCAGTAGATGCTGACAATTTGCTCTCTGGTTCCTTCACCTTTCCTGAATCCAGATTGTGCATATGGAAGTTCTCAGTTTGCGTACTGCTGATGCCTAGCTTGAAGGATTTTGAGCATAACCTTGCTAGCATGTGTAATGACTACAATTGTATAGCAGTTTGAATATTCTTTAGCATTGCCTTTCTTTGCTATTGGAATGGAAACGGACCTTTTCCAGTCCTGTAGCCATAGCTGAGTTTTCCAAATTTGCTGGTATACTGAGCACAGCACTTTAACAGCATCATCTTTTAGGACTTGAAATAGCTCAGCTGGAATTCCATTGCTTCCACTAGCTTTGTTCATTGTAATGCTTCCTAAGGCCCACTTGATCTCACACTCCAGGATGGCTGGCTCTAGGTAAGTGACCACATCATTGTGATTACCGATCAGTAAGATCTTTTTTATAATAGTTCTTCTGTGTTTTCTTGCCACCTCTTTTAAATCTGTTCTGCTTCTGTTAGGTCCTTACCATTTCTGTCCTTTATCATGCCCATCCTTGCATGAAATGTTCCCTTGATATCTCCAATTTTCTTGAAGAGATCTCTAGTCCTTCCCATTCTATTGTCTTCCTCTATTTCTTTACATTGTTCAATTAAAAAGAACTTCTTTTCTTACTTCTGTCTTTACTCATAAGTAAAGTGGAGACTTAGTCGGCTGATTACCACATCAGCTTCCAACACCCAACGGGAAGCTCTGGTAATTTGTGTGTGTATAAGTGTGTGTCTTTAATTAATAAACTTCATTTTTAGAGCAATTTTAGGTTCCAAGCAAAACTGAGCAAAGTATAAAGTCCCCATACCCTCAGCACAACTTCTCTGACTGTCCATTACAGATATATTGCTCATCGCTAGGAATCTCAATTATATAGAGTGTATTACTTGGGGTTTTCTACATAACAAACCACCCCCAAACTTAGTGGTTTAAAGTAATGATATATTTAGCTCATGATTCCATAAGTTGGCACTCTGGGCTGGACTCAGCCAGGCGGGTCTTCTGATCTGGGCTGGGCTCCATCGTGTGTCTGTGGTCAGCTGCAGGTCAGCAGGGTGGAGGTTCCTGGAGGTGAACTGGCGCTTGGCTGGGGCAATGAGGAGTAGGGATGGGGGCAGCTGGACTCCAGGTCTTTCATCACCCAGCAGGCTAGCCCGGGCTCATGCACAGGTGTCTCTGGGTTCCAGGAGCAGGGAGATGAAAAGCACTTTTCAAGCGCTTGTGTCAGGTTTGCTCTTGTCC